TAGAAGAACTCTCAAAATAGATTTGAAATTATTTTGACCGTTTCTTGCATAGCAGTTAATACCAAGGCAAAACACGTAAAAACCTTTTTGTCTCTTAAAAGTTTTTTCGATTATAAAGTGAAAGCAAGGGAGTTTTTCAACTTTTATGCATGAAGGTTTTGGTTCAGCGATACCAGAAATTTTGCTCACACGCAGGCAAAAATAAAACCTATTTGTTGTAAAACCAATTTCTTTTACACATTCACAACTCAGGCAATTTTGTTCAACATGATTAGATAATATATCTAATCATTTGTCGCGAGTTAAAACCCAATACAAAGTTTTTTTAGCCATAATCAAGTTAAATCTAAAATCTACGTTCAATAATATGCTCTATACTAACAGTTGTATTCAATTTTCTGTGAAATGTTTTGAAATGCTGTACTATTGAAATATTATTAGTATTAAATTAACCACTCGAGTGTAATAACCGTTTGATAATAATTTGATTTTCACCAACATCCAATAATAGTTCACGTGTAGTCTGCAAAATTGAAGTACTGAGAAATGTTGATATTAAAAATAACCATTTTTAAATTGTTTACTGCTGTTGAGTGTTGCCGTTGTACCTATTATAGAGATGTAATCACTAATTCTTATATTTTTTTCTTCAATTTAATGTTAACATACACTATATTAGCTGCTTTAATATATTAGTTAGTTCATTTATTAGCATTGCTTCCGCATGTATATAATATTAACGGCTTCTTTTAAACTATTCACTTAAACATGACCTTAGGCAATCGTTAGCACGGACGTTTGAATACATTATTATCGAAGACGGTCGGATGTATGACGTTATTGGGTAGTTTCTAATCTGCTAGAATGAAAACATCTCATATTCTCGTGGGAGGCCATAACCCAGATACTTTCTGTAAACCCTGGGTACCTTTATTTTTATTGTAATTCGAAGCAATCATCGAATACGTTGCCTGCAATAACTGCAAGGTTTCCAAAAAATAGCTAACCCCCACAAACTGAAATTGAATTCAATATGATTTCCACGAAGAGTAGTCCAATTTGTTGTTTATTCTGTCCTATAGGGTATAATAATTAGGTTTAAAATTTAAACCTCTGGCGGAAAATGATTAAGTGTCGGCATATTTTGTCATGTGGACATATTATATTGTTTTGCCCAATTCAAAAGTCCAAGCTAAAATAACCGTTTTTTTCTCTCGTAAAACAATAGGTAAGCACCCACAATGAAATAGTTCCTTTATGTAAGCATTTCTTTTATTTCTTTTGCGGAATAGTCATAAAGAAAAGTAGTAGTAACTGAAGAAAAAAAAAGATTAATAAAACAAAGAACTCGCTTTTCACTGGATGAATCCTTTAAATACGAATAAGTTATTCAGTATGTATTTTTTTAAATATTTAAAGTAACTTTTAACCATAATATACACTAATTTTAGTAAACTTATTCAGATGTTTAATTTTTAACGTAATAATATTATTTAAATATTCAAACAACTAAATATTATGTTTTATAACCACTAACAGTTATTTGTTATAATGTTTAACCATACATAACTATCAAGCCAACAGCGCTTTTTGATTAAAGATTATACTTGATGCTTTAGTTTATTTGCGAATGACTATTAGGTATTTTTTTTCTGATGTTTCAGTCCTAATTGACGTAGCATCAATGATCATCATCAATATATGTCTAGAATAATTATTAATTATGAAATGAAAAAAAAACAAATTTGGCGTCACGGGTACGCAGATGGTCACTTGTTTAGAGTGACAATAAAGCAATAAATCACATCCGAATCTAATCTGTAAGTGATTAAAACAGTGTCGCTAAAAAAATAACAATAAATCTGTCGGCAAAACTTTTTGTGACTACGTTGAACTTTGTCGATGATGATGTCAAATTACTGAACTATTAAAAAAAAAAAAAATGACAGGAGAAAAAGCACATATAAATTGTAAACTTGTTCTCTACTCTTTCTTAGGATGGTTATTGGCTATCGTGTAACGATAAAACATGGTAAATACGATCACAGTTATTTGTAACTGTACAAACAGCACGCATGTAAGCAACCCCTTTTAACTGTTTTTAATTAACTAAATCGTGCAACTACAATTAATGCAATGTGTAGTTTAATATATGGATATTTTATGGACAGGAATTTCTATTGTTATTCATGTAATTTGAAAAAAATATAACTTTAAATTTATGTCGTTATTGTTGGTTATATTGAGTTTTTTTATGTTAATTTAACATTTCTACAGATTAGTAGAACGTTAATTATGGGTTTATTCATCGTGATAATAATATTGTTAATAATTAGTCTTTTTTTTTTTTTGGTTTCTATTTTAATAAAAAAATGCCTGCGTTATTTTTATACATACATACACAAGAAAATAATAAAAAATATTTAGTTTTTAAAAATGTTCTTAAAATATTTAAAAATTAATATACGTTATAAAATTATGAAAAATCTGGTTTTAGTATAATGAAAAACAATTTAAATAATGTTATAGAAACAACCTATGTATAGTTGTACTGTTTCATCGAGTTCTTGTGCACAATAAAACTTTGGCTCCACAAAGCTAATTAAAATGACTGAAAATTAATGTTAACTGTTTTTTTTAAAATAAACAACAACGAGGAAAGGTAGAGGAAAAAGGAAATACAATATCATTATTGTTTCATTATTGCACAGTATTTTTTAGAAACATATTTTAGATACTTATTTCTTGCACAAAGAAGTATATCAATCATATTGTGTTGAATAAAATTATCTTAGAAGAGTTTTTTAGCGATATTAATATATCGCGTAAACCTAAATGACAAATTGGTTTCGGTATGGTTGAAATATTAAAGCTCTGTGTTTGTGACAGACGTTGTTTCAATTTTGTTTATTATAGCTTGGGGTGTCGACTTGGTAGGTTGCCCTATTAGTATCATCTAACAACGCAGCGTCGCGTTATCTTCACGTAAATAATCCACTGATGGAAACGTGACTTCTGAAGTGTGGAAAGTCATGGTTTGGCGTCTGGGTTTTTTACCTTGTCACTATACGAGCTTTTATATAATATGACCCATGTGTGTTTGGGTAAGAAATAGAAATAGGGAGAGAGAAGGGGAGCGAGAGATGGACGTCACTATGGAACCAGATGGGTTTTATAAGTCGGATCGTTTATCCTCATTACAAGGGCCATTTCGCTGATCAACTGTCTACCGCCGACCCTGTATCGTAAACTCTCTCTGGCCTCTATTCGTGTTCATCCTACTCCAGCAAAACGTTAACCGAATAAAATAAGAGAGGATTGCTCGGTGTAACCATACCTCTTCCGTTCGTTTCTCTAAAAATAACAGTCATAGCTACTTATTTACGGTGGTCATAAAAACTGCATTAACCGAAGAACTATGGGCCAAACAGCGTAGTTACGACCGTGGTGTTAATCTCCAGATAAATAAATAAAGAACACACGGAAGCATAGAAATTTGTTCCGACCCCATTCGATGTCATGTTGGTCGCCGCCTTAGGGAAATGTAATGCAATCGCAACAACCAATTCGTTTGTACGTAATTCGTGTCAAAATTAGCAAAAATATTAAAAAATATGACAAGGACGTGTTCGTAATTTAATTGAGATATTTGAAAAAAAAACTATTTGTCGTCAGTTACGTTGATTGCAACTTATATTTTATTACATTAGTGATAGGAGCTGTGGTAGAAACTAGGACTGAGAGCGTTATGGGATGCTTTAACACAACTTGCCACACGTTTGATACGAAAATGTTTTTGAGATTTCACCCGACTGTTTTCTACGTCGTATTTTGTGGTGTGTAATACAAAAATCAAGTGACTCGCGCTATAATTAAGAAATTGCCACCCTCTTGTTTCGTGATACTTCGAATTAAGTTTCACCTCGACAATGGTAAATATCACATGTCGTCTAGTCGAGTAACGCGAGAATTCCAAAGGACAAGTTTCGCATTTTCCTCGAACACAGCGGAGTCGCTGATGTGCACATTTTCATTTTCATTTTTTTTTCCATTTTAACGCACATATTGCGAATTTAAATTTTGCATTACGACTGCGTGCATTTTTTAATTAATTTTTCTCGGATTCTCAGTATTGTTTTTTTACACTTTAGCCGTCGACAATAGAAAACTACAAAAATACAATTAACCCAGGAATACATTGTAAAGCTTTTAAGTCGTTTTTAATTATTTATTAAAATAAGCCAACATCATTTTTATCATTTTATTTGTTTTTTATTTAACACATTCTGTTAATAAAAAAACAATTTGTATTTGATGGATAAAAACTGTTCGCGAAAATCACACACTCATTCTATGCTTTGAGTATTTTTCAAATCTACTATATTTTAGTGACACTGGTCTAAAGTATTAAAACGCAACCACTACTTTTACAACCTCAATTGTCGGTCGAGTAATTTCTAATTACTATTAATATTTGAAAGAATTTTATTATTATGTGTCTCATATATTATTAATATACTCATTATAACACTTATGCTATGCGATTTAATTTATACTGTAATAAAAATACATGATACTAGACTAAAATTAAAGTATTATCCCAATTTTTTCTTCGACGGGTTTTGTAAATGTTAACATTTTACCAATTAAAGATGTCCTATTGTCATAAATTCGCCTAACGAAATATTTGTTCTAGTTATATATTCGGTACTTACGGGAATTTTTGGGCCATACTAGTCTAGGGAGCTCACGCGACAAATAATACATTATATTATTCTTGCTCAATCGTTTTCCCTGAAGAAGAATCACGATTCTCGACCCCTTGTATATCATACCGAGACAATATTATAATACAGTACTTTATTAAAACTGAATAGATTAAATATGAACAGTCGGACTCTTTGGTGTTTAATATTTATGATCGTTTATTTATTTACAATTGTTACTCGAATAAATTACTTTTAGAACGCGCATTTTTATTTGTATTTTTTATGTTACAGTTTTATCTGTGCTGGAGCCTGAGTTCGCCGAACCTATACCGAACGTTACGATACCCGTGGGAAGAGACGTTTCGCTGCCTTGTGTCGTCAGCAATTTGGGAAATTACAAAGTAAGTATTTGGAATTTATTTATAATTGATTTCTTATTCCGCATCTGTTACTTGAAGTCTCCGCTCTATATTTAATTTGATAAATATAATTTATATGAGTACTGATTCGTTTGATTCGTTTTACTACTGGTTTTAACAAGTAAAATGATCAACAAAACTTTGGCCAGTAAAATATCAATAATGATTGTAATAACTACTGTACGATATCATTGAAAAGCTATTTATGAATTTAGGTATTGTTATTTATAATGGTATTAAAGGGTTGGACGTCTAGAATTTAAAACTACAAGCTTACTATTTAAACAATTACGCGCAGCGCATTTAATTTCTCCTCAGGTGAATACCTATCATTATGTATATTTTTTCTTGCCTGTAAGCTAGAAATAAAATACTGAGATTGATCTGTATAATTGTAATCTTCAATAATAAAAAAAATATTTCTTTGGCTGGTTTAACGAATAATTTGTAGCTCATTTTTGTTAAATAACATATTTTAATAATACAATTTGTATACATATGACTGGTAATTGAGACAAACGATTGTAAAATGTTTAATATATTATGTTTGTTCTAAAATTATGTTTACAAGTAAAATTCTTTGAGAACTCACAGAAATAAATGAATTTAAATTTACTAAATTATTATACTGTTGAAGAATAATTTATTGCGCAATGATATAATAGTATATGTAATCTGACATCATAATTCTATGTTATAAAAATTCAAATCTTATATCAATTGAAGGTAGTGGCTTGATAAATTAGTACAGAATCCCTTACAAGTGCGTATTAATTGATAACATAAAGATACTATTTTTGATTAACGTTCGACGGGTACAATATTTGTTATAATATGTACATTATATTTCGTCTGTAGGCAGCATAAATTAATTTTCAATCCTATAATTGCACTCCAAGGTCCTTCAGGCAAAATTTAACATTAATTTACTATCACTGCTTCGTTTACAATATCTAAACTAAAGGTGTTTGTTTATTGAATCACATATCATCAGTTAGATGAATTGATGTGTATTACATAATCATTTTAATCATCAATTAGGATAAACAATTTTTATATTTACATAAATCATAAAACTACATATGATACGAAGTTTACAATGACAATATGTGTTAGTAAGTGAATCTGATATAACTGAGATTATTTAATACTTTGATGGTTTTTGTCCATTTGTTTTTTATCTAACACACCTATGCTTGTATTGTTATCTTTTATAAATGTGTAGGACATTAATTGTTTAAGTTTTTAAAGTTATTTCAGTATTCAGTAAATGGGAATATTTTAAAACTAATTATAATATTATTATGATTCGCTTCAATGCTAATATTATGTACTCCACAGTCCATTTTACATTATATTTCCAGAATATTTATAAATTTGATACAACCTATGAAATGTATTTTTATTTTTATTGCTCGTGTCGGTTTTTGAAACACAGCTTCTGTTGATTTCTAAGAATGTAGACTATTTCGGTGGTATTTATTAGGCGACAAGTTATTTTGAATTACTCGCGTATAACATAAGTACAATACCTAAAGACGAAGAAATTCGCTTTTGTTTAAATTAATTTCGCAGGAAATTAAAACTACGTTGTTTTACTGAAAACATCTGGAAAATTGTAAACACACATAAGTACACATTTTTGTATTTAATATAAGTTATAACAGTATACGTCATTTTATCTAAAATACTGAAATGATAGGATGAAATTGGTTCGCAAAACATCTAAAAACCTTCTAACATTTCTTATATCTTAATAATACTGTAAAAATTTAAAAATATATTACTGTACTAAGTGAGTAGCTATTTAAATATATATTTTATTAGTAGTATATTTTTAAGAAATAATTTTTCTAATTGCACATTATGGTCATAATAATTATTTTGTAGCTTTATCAAATGCATACAATGTCTATACAACTCTTAGAATAATACTTTAATAAATTATTATTTTTTGTAATAGTTAATAGAATTTAATAACTTGTGATGATTTTACTTTCAATTCAATTATTGTAACTTAATATAATATATTTATAATAATAAAATATATGTTTTATTTCTTATATCGTATTAAAATGTATTTTATTGATATGCAATGTAATGGTAGTATATAAGTATTTTTAAAAAAGAAGCATAATTTAGAAACACAATTTGTACATAAAGACTTAGATTCCGCCTAAAATGTTCTGAGTAAAAACGCCAAAGGCATAAAATGAATTACTGTTATTACAAACAAATATTTTCTTTTACAATATAAAATTGTATTTTTTAATATATATTGTAAGCAAACTGTTTATTTTACAAATGTTTAATATTTGTGTTTTAACGGGTATGCAATCATACACATTTTATATTTTATAAATAATATTAACCATACAAATAAATATATTGTATATATTGCAAAGCATATAACTCTATAAGAGGCTAATTTTTGACTTTGTTCAGTAATACTAATGATTTTCTCACAAGAACATTTGTTACATATAATTATTATTTCACTAAAAAGACATTAAAAATTCATCTAGAAAAAACCTGAGTAAAACTTGTCATTAATTATAAAAAATAAATTATTAAAATACACCATTAAATACAAAAAAAATCGTAGTTGCGTTAAAATGTTTTATAGTGGACTTAAGTCTCAATTAAACAAATTATCCTTATATTCGGTTTTTAGAATTAGGTACGTATAATTTTAAGTAATTTTTTATTCTACACAATATAATATTATGATTAGTAACAAATAAATGTACCGCAATTTGAAGGTAATGCACTTGATTTTAATATTCCTTATATAAACCTGTTTTTTAAACCCATCACCGATATTTCGTGTTTTCTAACGTACATATATATAGCACTTATCATATTCTTCACATCGTATTTTATAAAATATTTTTTTTCTTTTCCTCTATTTTATCTTTGACGCTACTAAATACAAATTTTAAATTATTACTTTCTTATGCAATTGAAGTTATACAGTATTTTTAAAAATGTTTCTTAAACCCCTTGAGATACCTGAAATAAACCGTACCCGATCTATTTATTTTTTCTTCATCCTTCCAACTGTATACTGTTTTCCATTTAACAACTCTTAGCAACTGAATTTGTATGGGTATTTATAATATATACATACATACATATAACACATATGATATACATACATATATATATATATATATATATATAATTATATTATAGATATATTATATGTTATTATGTAATTCCTAAGGTGTGTGTAAGCAAATGGTAATAGATAGTAGTCAATATCGAAGTCTATTTCAGTGTAACCGGTAAACAATAAATGCTGGCATTCTCTGTTATACAGAACGTCTAGTTTGAGATTAACGGCATAGAATACACAGATCATAAACAAAGGCTTTATTTCCGTGGAACCAGAAATTATATTTGGTCGTACTATACTAGTCGTAGGTAGTAAATCATAATATGTCTGTCTACAGTATATAATATTATACTAATGGAAACCTGAACTAATATCTCTCCTGTAGACAGTCTACCAATTCTCGTGTAATATATGGAGCGTAAAGCGACAAGACACATTTCATTATACACTATATCTTCTTTAGAGTTGGAAATAATGTTGTCCTTATAGAAGAAACACAGTATGAGTTTTGGATGTTTGACCAAAAGTAGAATTTAAATTAATATAGCAATATTTCTCTGAAATATCTCTGAAGTGAAGCGGTATCTTTTCCCATATGACATAATTAAATATGGGATTCAAGTTGATGTATCTGTGTAAGCAATAAATGTGATCACTTTTCAAACCTTGTAATTTTGTGTCATATGAATTGTGATGTAACTTAATTATACCGTGTAATATCTCATCGAGGGCTCTTTAACGATAATAAGAGTAAACTATTACAAAAAATAAGAAGACAACAAAAAAATGAATACATTTTAGACGAATATATATTAAAATATATATTTTATTGGATTAATGTTGAAATTAATTTGAAATTAAAAAGAAATTTTTCAATGAAATAATGATTATAATTAAACGAAGTAAATATTTAAGTATTATACTTAAAGATGGGTGAGAGATAGTGTTGCAACTTTATTAGGCAAACTGTGTGGCTTCCGGCTTGCAAAATAGCCTAACATTTAAACAGTACAGATAGTTGAATTATAAGTAACTAAAGTTATCATTTATTATAATATATAAAATACTAAAAAAATACAAATATGTCTAAAACAGTCTACCTCATATACATTAACGTTTGGCATATAAACATTAACATTTACATGTTTTTATAATAAACCACATCAGTTTATAAGTTTCCTATTAACAAGCAATCATACGTTTAAGGGTTATAAAAATATATTATATATAAATATAGTTTAAGAAACGATTATGTATAATACGTATAGTAGCTGTTAGTTAATTCGAACTTTACCAGTATTTAAAAAAAAATTATCACGATGTAGAAACTACAAAACGTGACGTAGCAGACTGCACGTTACTTTATTTTATAGACAAGTGAATGACAATGGGGTTTGTATTAAATCTAAATTCTGACCACCGGTGCGATGATTTGAACATTGATTAAACATTTTCAAAAGACAAAATCAGTGAGCTTAAATCGCATTAGGTTTGACAAAACATGATAAATCCATTAGTTGTCATTCGTCGCATACGCATTGAGCGCAAGTACACGCATTATGGCGTGTATTAAATCCTATTCCTTCACTCCAATATAGTCACCGTTCTCCTCTGTTCCAATAAGTTTTGTAATTATTACCACTATGCAGTGATGTGTCGGCAAGTCACCGCTGTAGTTATGAACGTCATATTCTGTTGAAATGCTTTTAAAGTAATGTGGGACGCGTAACACATTTATGCACAAATAAAACAATATGGAATATCGTAGCGGTTTAATAACGAAGACCACGTCTTGTGGTTTTATAGTATTCTCGATTCTCGATTGGTGAAAACTAATAATATAGGTACTTGGTTCAGCTGGTCT